GTGGGGTGGGGGGGTGGGGGGGTGGTGGGGTGGTGTTGCTGCTCAGTGCTTGCGGCTCAGCAGAGTGGCCGGAGAGCGTCTGCTTACAGGGCGAGCGACCCAGCGGCTGGCTGTAGGGTAGAGGAGGACATGTGTGTTCTGAGCGTGTTCTGAGCATGGCAAGTAGCCAGCTGTAGCTTCTGCCCCACCTCAGTAGTGGCACGCGAAGCCGGCCTTGGGTACGCTGGGGTCCTCTCGCAGGTTGTGTTGCTGACACCCTGGGGGCTTCGCCCAGCTCCCCTTGGAAGGGGCAGCAGCTGCACTGAGGGCCTGTTGGGACTTCGGAAGCTTGCTCGCTCGCCGGGGGTTATGGGTGCAGGCTCCTGCAGTGCCCATTCGCCTGGATGCGGTTGCGGGCCCGCAGGGCTTCACGTGAGATGTCGAGCCACCGCATAAGGAGTGTGGGGGTAGAGTGGTCCCTGACCCAGGCAGCGAGGCCTTTGCCTCAAGAAGGTGGAGGCACTGGCTGATGGCTCACTGGTGTGCGTGTCTCCGAAGAGCACATTCCCACATCTTGGGCCGAGTTTTCGGGTGCCGTACCAGCACCGGCAACCTGTGTGGCGGCGGTCTGTGGGCACTGTGGGCTCTAGGGGTCACTTGCTGTGCAGCAGGAGCAGATTGCCCGCCCCATGCGTGCAGGAGAGCGGAGGTACCCGGGTGTGTCACTGCGTCTGGGTTTACCCCGGGAGGACAGGGATGGGGTGGTCCGGTCAGACTGGAGCCAAGAGTGCCCTGCGAGGGCAGGAGCCGCTGACTCGGCCCTGGGCGGATTCGATGGTGGCCACTGCTGAGACTCTTTAGAAGCTGGATCTGGGCCTCCCTGGGGCAGACACTGTGTCCCCCAGACCAGTGCTGGGTTTCCCTCTTGGGTCCTGGCGTGCTGGTGGCCCTGTGTTTTGGCATGTGTGGAGCACACGTTTGTGGAGGGAGTGGTCTCTCCTGCCCTAAGTGGTGGCCATGTCATAGGATCTTCAGGCGGCCAGCGGGGTGCTGCAGGAGCCTCTGTGCCTGCACGCTCAGGGATGTGCTCCTGGACAGAGGTGAGGGGGTGGTGAAAGGGATTGGGGTACCGGACAGGGAGCCTCTGAGTATGTTCCTTGTGGTCACAGCCTCAATGCCAAGTGGCCTCCAGTTCTCTGCATGGACTTCCTGGGGGACAGCAGAGGCAGAGTCCTGTGCTCCTACTTGGCTGGGCTCCTTGCCCTGGAGGGATTGTGACCTGCCGACCCAGCCTGCAAGGATTCCTGGGGTGGGACTGGGATTCAGCAGGGATGCTCAAGGGCTGCTCCACTGGTGCCCCTGCTATCCTCGCCCTTCCCTCCTGGTCCTGGGAAGACACCCTGAGGCCTGGCAGGGGTGTCTTGTTGGAACGTTGTTGAAATACGATGGCAGTTTGGGGAACGTGTCGGGGAGTGTTGAGTCCTTCAGTTACCTCTGCCGCAGTGGACGGTTATGGCTTTCTTAAGTCTTTCCACCTGCACGGGATGAACTCTTTTCTGACTTTGTTTCAGGTAATCATTACCAAATGAGGAGAAAAGGGCGATGCCATCGAGGCTCTGCAGCGAGGCACTCTTCCTCCCCGTGCAGTATTAAACGCTCCCCTGCGCGAGAAACGCTGACGTACGCCCAGGCTCAGAGGATGGTCGAGATAGAGATTGAGGGGCGCTTACATAGGATCAGTATCTTTGACCCCTTGGAGATCATATTAGAAGATGACCTCACCGCTCAAGAAATGAGCGAATGCAACAGCAATAAGGAAAATAGCGAGAGGCCACCCGTTTGCTTAAGAACTAAACGGCACAAAAACAACAGAGTCAAAAAGAAAAATGAAGCTCTCCCCAGCGCCCACGGCACACCGGCCTCCGCCAGTGCCCTTCCTGAGCCCAAGGTGCGGGTCGTGGAGTACAGCCCCCCGTCTGCCCCCAGGAGGCCCCCCGTGTACTACAAGTTCATCGAGAAGTCGGCAGAGGAGCTGGACAAGGAGGTGGAGTATGACATGGACGAGGAGGACTACGCCTGGCTGGAGATCGTCAACGAGAAGCGCAAGGGCGACTGTGTCCCCGCTGTGTCGCAGAGCACGTTTGAGTTCCTCATGGACCGCTTCGAGAAGGAGTCGCACTGCGAGAACCAGAAGCAGGGCGAGCAGCAGTCCCTGATTGACGAGGACGCCGTGTGCTGCGTCTGCATGGACGGGGAGTGCCAGAACAGCAACGCCATCCTCTTCTGCGACCTGTGCAACCTGGCCGTGCACCAGGAGTGCTACGGCGTGCCCTATATCCCCGAGGGCCAGTGGCTCTGCCGGCACTGCCTGCAGTCCCGCGCTCGGCCTGCCGACTGCGTGCTGTGCCCCAACAAGGGCGGGGCCTTCAAGAAGACGGACGACGACCGCTGGGGCCATGTGGTGTGCGCCCTGTGGATCCCAGAGGTTGGCTTCGCCAACACGGTGTTCATCGAACCCATCGACGGTGTGAGGAACATCCCGCCCGCCCGCTGGAAACTCACCTGCTACCTCTGCAAGCAGAAGGGCGTGGGCGCCTGCATCCAGTGCCACAAGGCGAACTGCTACACAGCATTCCATGTGACCTGTGCCCAGAAAGCCGGCCTCTACATGAAGATGGAGCCCGTGAAGGAGCTGACTGGTGGGGGCACCACCTTCTCTGTCAGAAAGACCGCCTACTGTGACGTCCACACGCCTCCAGGCTGCACACGGAGGCCTCTCAACATTTACGGGGATGTCGAGATGAAAAACGGTGTCTGTCGGAAAGAGAGCTCAGCCAAAACGGTCAGGTGCACATCCAAGGTCAGAAAGAAAGCTGCGAAGAAGGCCAAGAAAACGCCGGCCGAGCCCTGCGCGGCCCTGCCCACTGTGTGCGCGCCTTACATCCCCCCTCAGAGGTAAGCCGTCTCTGTGCTGGGCTGAGAGCATGCCCGGAGCCGGGCAGGGGGGTGGCTGTGCCAGACTACCGCCTCATGCCATTTGCACAGCCTCCTGGTGGCCCGTGTGGTGCTGCCTGCCGCCACGTTTCAGAGTTGGCAGACTCGGATGACTTAAGGTTTTCTTAATGCTTACGTCGGCCAGGTCGGGTCAGCCAGGTCCCATTCTGGTAACCATGGCCACATGGCTTCATCTAACCAGGGCTCTGGTCCTTATGGAGTTCCGGGTTTTAATACCTTTTTTCTTTTTCTAATTATTTAATTTTACTCCTTATTATCATTATTATTTAATTGACGAGAGAGGGAGAGAGAGAGAGAGAGAGAGAGAGAGAGAGGGAGAGAAAGCCACCAAGTCCAGGACTTGAACCTTGTTTGGCCATGTGGGAGTCCAGCACCTTAACCACCATGCCACCTGCCAGCCCCACTACCTTTTTTCCTTAGTTTGCCATAGGGTGTGTGTGATTGCCAGAGAGAGAGAGACAGAGAGAGAGAGAGAAGCACGGGGGGGAGGGGGATAGCCATGCACTGTCCCTTCCCCGTTTGCCTGTTGGGATTCTGGGCATGTCTGCAATGTGCCCTTGTGATTTTTCAGACTGCAGGGTCGCTCATTGGGAATTCAGCACTTAATCACATTACCTGTCGGCCCCGGTTTTACCGGCTTTAGCAATAAAACACTGTTCTTTTTCCATGGCCCCCCAAACTTTGGAACCTGGTGGGATTTAAAAAGAATGTTGGAGGGACCAGCAGATGGCGTAATGGTTATGTCACTGGACTCACGTAGTCGACCATGGTTCGAGTCCCAGACCTGGTGGCTTAAAACTCACATCGGGCACATGGGCGTGCATGCCCAAAATCCCGAGAGGAGAAGGGATTGTGGCGTGGCCATCTCTTGTGGGGGATGATTTCTCTCTCTGTGTCTGTCTCTCGGGCGAGTGCATGCGCCCTGTAGCAGAAATCTGGCTAGAAAAGCCCCAGTGTGTTGTTAGGGTGAGGCTGTGTGACCCAGTGAGCAGACACCACACAGAGGAGAGGTGAGCACCTCGGAACCACGTGGGCTGGGGACAGGTGTCCTCCTTTCTCTTCTTGCTCCCCTTCCTCTGAGGGTCTCTTCAGTAGGGTGCCATGGCCTGGTCTGCGGAAGAGGCCTCTGACCAGCGTAGGCATTGGGGTGCTTGCTGAAGGCCCGGCTCTTGGTGTGACCCAGGGTCTGTCCCCGTCCTCGTGTCCTCCTTGGCTTCGCCCTCTTACCACGACTCGCTCTTTCTGTTCTGTAATCTTTAGAAATACCCTTCGCTTTGTTAGGGATGTGAGGTGAGTAACTTGACGGCTCTTCACCCGCAGCTCCTCCTGTACCCACGGGAACACCTCCTCGAGCTTTGAGGAGGTGACGCTGCACCTGTAGTGTAAGAGTTTGGTCGCGTAAGTGAAGTCTGGGTAGTGAGGTGAGCATGAACACCATGCCTGCTCCGTGCCGTCCACTGGACTCGGACAAGCTGGTCCCACCCAGGCCTACCCACGAGTGGAAGGTCCAGTGCAGCTGGGTACTCTGCAAGCACACGTGAGGGCGGTCCCCGAGCCTTATCACAGGCTGTGCCACAGCCAAGGCATGTTGTGTTGCTGCGAGTACACGCTGATGCTGACACGGTGACTGTCTTGTGATTCAGGGTGTTTCCCCTGTTAATAAAATTGTCTTTACTTTGCAAATTGGGTGACAATGTGATTTGCTTCTGTCACTAAGGAGAAAAACTGACCTTTGGCGTGTGGACCACCAGTCTTTCGGCCCCTCGTCTGCAGGGCTCTGCCGAGGCGCCCAGGAGACGTTTAGAGTGTGCATAGGCTAGACCCTGTACCGGTTGTGTTTCTTTCGTCCACACTTACCTAGATCAAAGCCTGTCTGTAAATTACACAGAGCGGGGAGTAACAGGTGGTAAGATAGGTCGACTCTAACAATGTACAGTGAACACTGTGTGAGCGTGGTTTCTCATCTTTACTGTAGATCTTAGCAACCTTGGTGTACAGTTTGTTTTCATTAAGAATGTTCACCTTTTTTTTTTTTTAAAGATGTTTTTGCTATTAGGCGTGTGCGCTTGCCAGAAAGAGAGAGAGAGAGACAGTGAGAAATCACCCTCCAGTGGGGATGGCCATGCTGCAATCCCTTCTCCTCCATTCCCCGCTTGGGATCTTGGGCACGCATGCACATGTGCCCGGTGTCAGTTTAAGTCACTGGGTCACTGGGTCTGGGACTCGAACTGCGGTCGGCTACATGGGGGTCCAGCGACATAGCCATTACGCTAACTGCTGATCCCAGAATGTTCACCTTTTTTTTTTTTTCTTTTTTTTTTTTTTTTTTTTGAGTTTTTTTTTTTTTTTTGTTTTTTGAGTTTGTTCTTTTTTTGCTGTAGGGTATGTGTGCTCACCAGAGAGATAGAAAGTGAGAAATATCCCCCGGGGGAATGGTCACTCCAGAAACCATTCTCCTCTAGGGATTTTGGGCACATGTGTATACTTGCTTGGCATGAGTTTTAAACCACCAGGTCTGGGACTTGAACTGCAGTTGGCTCCGTGGGAGTCCAGCAATAAAATCATTACGCCATCGCGGGTCCCAGAACGTTCACCTTTGCTCTTGGGGTGCACTCACTCTTCAGCCTCTCTGTGGCATGCTCACGTTTCAGCATTGTCCCTCTTGTGCTTTGGGGCCATTAAGTAGAGTGATTTTGCACTTTCTATCTCTTTGGCTCTGTCTTTCTGGTGAGCGCATGCGCCCTGTAGCAAAAACCTCTCAAAAAAAAAGAGAGGAGGAGTAGGGATCGTGGCATGGCAATCCCCGGGCGGGGGGTGATTACTCCCTTCCCTCCCCTGTTCC